ACCGTCCACATGTGGTTAACACCTTCTTCTATTGCTTTATACAGTGCAAATGCCTTATGAGCTCCTGTTATTAGAATCATTACCTGTTCATCAAGAAATATGTCATGTTTGTTTGTGGTCTTAAAGGTGTGTCAACTTCCACAGCTATTTATGCCAATTTACTATTTAAGTGAAAAATAGTCATGTCACAGAATGAGGTTAGGTTTACCTGCATGTAAACCTATATATATCTGGGGAGTTTAGTACTGATGTGAATTCTGAGAAATTTCTGTATGCATTTTGAAGAAAAATGCAACACAATCATGTAGACCAAGTACCCTAAATCTTTCGTAAGTAAAATACACTTTTGGTTCCAGAACTATGGCTGTATAATTATTTTCATTGCGTGTTTAAATCATATAAAGTGATATAAACAAGAACACATTAATGGTTTCTTAAATATAAGATCAATTTTAAAAGATGGCACACCTAAAAGGGGATAAACTTTCCTAAATTTTATATTGAAAATAAACATATCAAGAGTTTTCATTAATTCATAATATGTTAATGTACTGGTATTTAATTAAAATATGTAACTAAAAAAGTGTTAATGTCTCAATTACTTTAAGAAACACTAATAACTGAGACACAAAACAATTATCATTTTGTTGTTCTGAATAATTCTGAGACAAAGACTTCAATAAGATGAAGTAAGCTGCCAGTTAAACAAGATGGTGGACTTTGAAGCTACTGATGCCCAAACCTTTCCCTATCATCGCTAGTTACTTAAGTAATGTGAATATGACATTAAGCCTACCTCTTTGGCATCCATTACAGTACCAACACCAACTGTTAAGGCTTGCTTAGGAACTTTTGATATGTCATTTCCAAAGAAACGTGCATTAGCTTCCAGAGTGTCTTGAGCTAGTGTCTTTAATCTTGTTCTTGAAACCAGCGACGAACCAGGTTCATTGAAGGCTATATGTCCATCAGGGCCAATACCTGATCGAGAAATGCTATAAATATTACAAACTGATGTCTACATACACCTTTAAAACTTTATTTAGAAGCATCTGAAAGTAAAGTGTTAAAACAAACTTGTGGAAAAAGGTAAGGAAACTTGTGTCGATGGTCTTCTGGATTTAATGCCGTACAGACTTGAAGAATGGTACCAAAGTGTTGGAGAAATACACTTCTTCAAGTTGTCTTCATTTTCAGGGCTGACCTGAAGATGGAGACAGTATATTCCTCCAAAACGTTTATATCTACCCACACGTTTGCACAGTGTTAATATTCAGAAGATCAACACCAACATTTTCATAAGAAACAATTGTAAAAATGAAGCGAGGATGAGAGGCGGTAAGCACCTCTAAAACGTCGCTCAATTTGTAAGAGACTATGCAGCGCAACATTACAGAAAAACTGTTAACTGCAGTGAGTATTTTATTCACCTCCAATGAACAGTTCCACTCCTCCAGATTCTGTTATTATCCTCTCAAATTCGTCACATTCCTTCTGGAGATCCGGAGCATTGCCATCCAAAATGTGAACATTGGCAGGATCTATGTCTACGTACTTGAAGAAGTTGTTCCACATGTAATAGTGATAACTTTCTGGATGATTCCTAGGAAGATCTAAAAACCCAACACCGATCAATATGCAACTTTTCCGGAATAAATTCATATTCAATATACAGAAAACATGGTGGAATACTCGCAGAAGCAGAAGATAAATAAATCAATGTTACAAATTCTTACACTTGGAAAATTCTAACATAAATAATAATATTCTATGAGGAGAGAAAGTGAATTCAACATGTAATATATAAAAATATAACACACTGTACAGTAGGACATTTTGAAAAACACAAGAATAATTTTTATATACTTACATCCTACCAGCTTCATATAACATTCAACTTCTCTGTCAGAGAGAAGGCAAACACATTCAATTAATTGATAATGTAATTAGAATTTCCAGTCACAGTTTTCACAAATCTCATACGATAACAAATCTGAAGCATTTTCATCTTTTTTGGAAGTCATTCTAAGATTTGATGGTTTCCAAAGCTGGTTCAATATCATAATTCTGGAAACACATACCTACACACCTACATCAATTCAGTCTTAAAAGATAATCACAGATCTTCATACATTTTCTTAAACATATGCTTATAAGTTGAAAATAGAATCAGTTACAATACATAAGTTTTTAATTTTATATTCAATTTAATTTTAAAACAATTATGTTTTGGTAAACGCAACTCACCGACATATTCATCCATGTTGAATGTTTTCACATACTTGAATGAGATCTTACCAGCATTGTGGAATTCAATCAGCTTTTTATACATTCCCAGGGGTGTACTACCTAGAATGACATACAGCCTCTGGTTGTTACTCCATTGTCACATATGACAAAGCATTGTTTTTCAAGTGAATACACAACTTGGATATGATAATGAAATAAAACACATTTTTAACTTGTACATATTATTAAACTTATTTTATTATTTACCTGTTGGCAGTCCAAGAACAAAGTACTTATCAGGTCCAGGTTTGAAGTCATTAATTCTTTTGAGGACATATCTGGCAGACCATTCAGCTACTTTGTCTGCTGTATCCAAAATTATTAACTTCATTATAATATGGCTCTATGTTCAAACCTAGAACATGCAACAACTGATATGTAGTACTAGATTGCTTTTCAGTCTTGAGTATTGCTCCAGATATATATTAGAAAAATATGTATCCAATTATATTTCTCTTGACATAACAGTGGTATTATCTATTACACAATAACAACATGGGAGTTCAGTTCAAAGACCTACCATCCTATCTTATCAGTGCATATAGTGTTTTCAAACATAACAGCTCAGAGTTTGATTATTGAGCTTCCCAAAGCTGAACCATTTTCTAACAAGATTTATACATCTGTAATTTAACCCCCGTACGTAATGATGTCAATAGCTCTGATTATATGTCAAAGACAGGATAATACTAATCACATGAGTGGTTACCATCTCCTTCAATTCTCGGCTCCCCTGATATCCAGATATAACTCCCCAATTAACCAACGTAATAAATCACCTACATTAAGATTGAAAATTTACCAGTTGTAACCATATGATGTTAAAATAATGATACAATTACAAGTTCTCTATAAAACATGTCACAATCATGTACTATTTATACAATAAATTGCATGAGGCGTTATCGTACCTCTATGAGACCTTCACAGTATGCCCAAAGGAGGCAGAGTAACAAACGATGTACCTACACCTCTGAAAGCAACGTAGATGGGATTCACGATCAAATTGCCCTTCTATTAATTACCATGAGCAAATGAAATGTCACCAAAAAAAGTGCAGACGTTAACAGGTAATGACGACCACACTCCACTGCTTACATGTACGCCACAGATAAAACCAGATGCGTGATTCCAATGGGCACCGTAGCTCAGTCGGTAAGAAGGTTAACTACTCTTCAACCTACAAAATTCTCTCCCCCCCCCCCCCCCCGACTTCTAATATACCATGACCAATTTTAAGATGCTTGATCTATCTTTAGGGTAAAAATGAGTATGTGTGTAATAATTTTCACATAACTTTCATCTACCGGGTGAAGGTATCCTAAAATATAAGGTCCTTAAAAAACGACATAATTATAACAAGCATTTCATCCATATCAATCTGTAACCCACCTACGTACCGTACTGAACCATAAAGTAGACTGATATTCATAAACACTGAGGTCAGTTGAGGTTTGAAAATTGTCAACGAAAAACACGTTTTGATCATAGATATTTGTATTCAACTTTATAATTAGTCTTCACACGTATGCTTGGATCTACAGAAGACAATGTTTTCAGTTACGTCAATATATAACTAGGAAAAATACTGAAAAGTTCAGGTATTTAATATTATTCACACATTTACGTCACATAATGCATGGACTGCTACATCCAGAGGAGCTAAAAATTGATAGAATAAACCATACAATAATAATTCATCAAACCAGAACAAAATTACCATGTTTAAATGATGATAATCTAAAAATCCCAACAATCTGCACAACTCAAGGAACGACAGAATATAGAATAGCGGTACCCTGATAACTAAATGTAGCATTCACTTAACACATCACAACCATCAAGTGAAAATATAAACACACGCGAGCATGGATATGATTACGTCACCGTAACAGATTGTATATGAAAACAAA